TAGCATTGAACTTATATAGTGCCTTGGGTAGAATTGACATCTTTACAATATTGAGTCTTCCAATCCATGAGCATGGGATCTCCTTCCATTTGTTGAGGCCATCCTTGGTTTCTTTTAATAGTGTTTTGGAGTTTTCCTCATACAGATCTTTTGTTTTTGAGTCAGGTATATCCCTCGGTATTTCAATTTGTGTTTGGCTATTGTGAAGGGTACCCCTTTTTTGATCCCCTCTTCTGTGTCCTTGTCTGATTTTGCACTCATTCTTATTAGCTCCTCATTTCTCCCCAGCTTCCTCTGCCATACTCCCAAGAAATCATTAATCCAGATACTATTTCTATAGATTTACCTACCTGGATTTCATACACAGAAAAACTACAACAAAACTAGTAAGAACAGCAAAGTAAAACAGACAAAAACCTCAATAGAAAAGAAAGCAAAAAATATTAAAAACTAGAACAAAATAGGGAGATCAAATGATACAGTGGTAAAATTTCACCCAACTACATCTGCAATAATCCACTTTCTAGTGCATTCTGCATCTTAACAAGGCTGTTCACATCCCTGGTCCATAGTCAGAGGGGATTCCCCAGGGGCTTATACACGGCACAACCCCCCTTTAATTGAAATGGTTTTTAAAAGGATCTAAAGGGAGGTCAAATGATATTACATTTTGACCTAACTACATCTGCCATAATCGACTTATTCACATCCCTCTACTATGATCGAAGAGGATTCACTAAGAGGCTAAATATCTGTGGACCCTGCAAATGGATTTTGGGCTTTCACTGTCATCCACAGCCTTCTATAAACCAGGTGTTCACAATTTAAGCTCTAATGCCAGTCCCTCCCTTAGATTTTGATCGTATTTATAATCCTAGTATCACACAGGCTGGTGTGCTTCTTCCATGTGGACTTAGTTGGCTTCAAGGACGTAAATCTTTGTAAGAGCAGCAAGTCTCATCTTGCTCCCATGGAGCAGCTGGTAGGTTTGAACTGCTGACTTTGTGGTTAGCAGCCCAATTCATAATCCAGTATGCTACCAGAGCTTCTTTAGCACTGATAAATGCCCAATAGGCAACCCACTCCATAAGCCAGCCTCCCTGGCTGAATGCACTGAACTTCAGTCCTTCCAACCAGCACTATCTCATGCAGATGGGCTTTGCTCTCTTCCTTCTTGATGGTCATGGGGATTCTGCTACTGCTTCTGTGGTGACTTACTTTATGCCTACCAGAATGGCAAAACTGACCAATTCCCTCACATTAGTCCCACGCACCCTATTTGCATGATGCCCCAGTCATTTGGTGGGACATACAAAGTCTAAGGATAGAAGAGCCACACTCTTGTATTTTGTATGGATGGAAGAGTCACTAAAGGTCACTACGAGTTGGATAGAAAATATTTTTTTGTATTTTTACTTCACAGCAAACATTAAAAAGCAAATTGTGCCTAACCAAAGAAGGTCACAGAAATCACTAACAGGGACAAGATTATCATTATTGTCTTTTAATCATACTGTTCAGGACTTTGTGAATTTATTTTATTACCTTGGAGTATGTTTTAAAATTTACTACATAAAGTCCATGGCAGACCCAAGTTTTTGCTTTATTTTTTGAGTGTATCGATTCAAGTTCTAACACTGATCATATTCAAGTAGTGCAACCATTTCACCTGCCTTTTCCAAGTTGTTCCTCCCCCATGAACACAAATTCACTGCCCCTAAGTTGCTCTTACCAATTTGATCCCTTAAAGACGGTTCTTAAAACAACATAATGCTAAAGACCGACATCATTTATTATCTTTATTAGTTATTATTTTACTAGTAACATCTTTAGCAGTTACTATGGTTTGGTCTGAAGACTTCAGAGAATTTTTGTGGTTTATGCTTGATAATTTCTGTAAGTGTCAGGGATCCATCCAGCCTGCTATACTCTGAAAAGTCTGGAGCTCATGCTCATTTTAAATTCTGTTCTGCATTGTCAGTTTGATCAGAATTCTTCTATACAGTCTTTGATCAATACAATAAGTGGGAACCATCAGCTCTTCTGATCTCATGGCAAAGGAGGCAGTTATTCCTGGATGTTCCTTCCCTATTGCTCCAATCACACAGAAAACAATTAGACATCAGGCACTATTAACAATGAACTAGAAGATAAAACAGAATGACTGAATTCAGTCTTAGGCCAATTTCTTTTAATGTCCCAGGAAATCGTGGTTCTAAACATCCCAACCAAGGAGGCAAGTCTCATTAGGCTTTTGGGGTACATAAGTAGCCTTATCAGTATTTTTTTCCTTATCACTATCGTAAATATTCAAACCTATCACTTTTGCCAGTTCAATGTTGACAAGTGTTCAACATGACAGCAATTACACGAAGCGGTGATACAACCTTAACCTTAATCAGAATTTCCCAACTACGGTAAACCAAGTCAGCACTTCATAAGCACTCTTCCATCCCTCCCTCTCCCACCCTTTCTAACCGCTAATAAACATCCGTCTGCATAAATTTGCCTCGTCTGATCTTTTTTTGTGAGGTCATAGGGTATTTGTACAAAGTGTGCAAATGCTGTATCCCACAAAAGACTAGAACAGTAGATATGTATATGTGTGTGTATCTTAATCTCCACTGCAATCCAACAAAGTAGAATTCACAATCCCTATTTTATTGATGAGTAAATCAAATTCAGACAAATGAATGGACACATGAAAGGCTTTATCTTTTAAGTGGCAGTGCCATATTTTAAATTCCACATCAGTCTACCTTCAAAAACAATACTGTTTGAAAGTTTCCAGAATCCATCAACTGTTTGTTGAAAATGGACTTTCTCTTATTAACTTTCTTGATACCTTTTCTTTTCTATAATGCTTTAAATTTATTTGAATTTTATGTTTGGAGTGTATGTTTTAAAAATGATATGCTCACTTGTTAACTGTTTTACTAAGTACAGACCTGAGTTTTAATGAATTCACCAGTATACTATCTATGTGTGGTATTTCGCGGGAAGGCCAAACCAGTTTGAGTCAACACCTCAGCTGTCTACAAGGATCAGGAAGTAATGTAAATGTGGAAGCAGGTGCAGTGTAAGATAGCAGAGTAAAGAAAAGCACTATCCCTTCCAAAGACACTAGATTATTTTTAAATACTACAACCCAAACGAAAACATATTATACGGGGCTGAATGTGACCATATCGACTAGGGTTAAAAAACCGTGCAGCCCTACTTTTTATGCTTTGATTTTCAAAATACAATCCACACATTCAAATTCAGTAACGATTTACCAAGTGCTTAGTAGACAAAAAGTTTATAAAATGTTTCCCAAATGTCACTAATGAGACAGGAAATCAATTAACATTTAATCATCTCATTATACTTAGATGAAGGTTGAGTGGTCGGAACTGTACAAAACTTGCAGATCAACGTTACACTCTGACTTAATTTATGCTATAAAAAAAGAAAATACACTTAGATCAGGTAAAAAGATTATTTTATTTCAATACATTTATATAGAACTCCCTATCATACATATTCACCAACGTTTATATTTCATTACCCATTACCTCAGGAGATATTTATTCAAAGAGAAGTGAATTTGATGACATTTTCTTAGCAAACAGAACACTTCATCACCAATAAGTTACTTCTTATTCAATATTTGGTAGTATTTATGAAATGATCTAGTGCAATACATATTGAGGTCTCCTTTAAAAAGCAAATACCCTATACATTTGAATTTGTCATCCCAATTCCTTGACACTCAATAACATAAGTGTCTTTAGAGGCATCTTCTTCCTCTTCTGACTTCGTCACAGTAAACTTAGCCTGAAAGCAGAAGGCAGTTAGCATATAAATGATAAGAAGAGAGCCAGGGGGAAGTCCGTAACTCTTAATGAAGTAAGCAGGTAGTTATATCACACCCATTTATTGAAGAAGCCACAGAGACACGAAGATCAAATGCTGCGTGAAAAAGTCAACAAAATAAAGTGTTGCTAGTCTAGAACCATGGTCCTCTCCAGACTTGTAGAGTTCATTCAAAATATATGTATGTCTGGGCCCCACATCATATTCACTGAATCAGAACTCTGCAGAAGACAGTCTGGGAAGGTATCAAATTAAAATGCAACTACTGATTATAAGGCACCTTTACTCTCTATCCCCTAAAAAAGGGAACTGAATTTTTCCCCCTTGCCAAATTAATCCCTAGACAATTTTCAAAGAAGGATGGGCTTAGGGGTTGAGTAACATCTTCCTTCATTCTCTTACAACCTCAGTTGCCTACAGGCTTAATGTTCTTATTTTTACTTGTTAACTCAATAAAGATTGGCCTTGAGATATAGCTCTATCAATGTAGCTTGGAAACATGCTTTTTTAAACAAACGTGTTCATTTCAAAAAGACTGAATTGAAAGACGGATGAATAAAAGTTGGTCGTTTACAGTAAAGAGATGTGAAGGATACCCTTGGTTTCAGTATCAGGGTGGCACTATACTGACACACAGTGGACATTTAAAATCACTGCTGCTAAATACACACTGACTTCTGAGCTAGTCACCCAAACTACTTACACAGTGTTATGTGTGAGCACATGTGCTTGTTGGTGCATGCATGTGCTGTGTATACAAGTAAAAGCATTACATAAGCATGAAACTACAGATAACAGTTACAGAAACCATTCTTACCCTATATACAAACCCATTTAAAACTACAATATTTAAAATTGGAGGGAAGCTTAGGAAAGTAAAGCTCTATATGACTTATCTGCATTGAAACACAAAACAATGAAGCAGCTTGCCCCAAATCACCCAGTTAACGTGAAATAATAACAAGAAACAAGCTAACTCACCCAGTTAGCGCGAAATGATAATGAACAAGAAACTGGAGCTAAATTCTAGTTCACAAAGCTTTCCCCTGTGTATTCACTTCAAATGACTTCACACTTAGTACATGCAGAGTATTGCACAAAGCGAAGACCACAATGAATAAACCTTAGACCAGGTAAGAGCTACAATTACATGTGAATCCAACAAAACCAAGCTCACTGCCACTGAGTTAATTCCAACTCACAGTGACCCTGAAGGGCAGTGAAGAACCATCCCTTTGGGTCTCTGAGACTGTAAGTCTTTACAGGAGTAGAAAGCCTCATCTTTCTCCTGCATCCGGCAAGTAGATTTAAAACACTTCACTTAACCCAGTTTCACCAGGGCTCCTGATTTAGGCTTACAGACAACTATGAACTTCTGTGATATGATTTCAGTGCTCTCATCCAAACGTGGTTACGGACTCTGCAGCCAGTACACTACAATGATTACACTCAGGACCATCGAATGGATGCTGACCCCATGCGACCCTACAGGACAGGGTAGCACAGCCCCTGGGGGGTTTCTGAGACTGTCTCTCTTTACAGGAGTAGACAGCCCCATCTTCCTCCCACAGAGCAGCTGGTGGTTTTGAACTGTTGACCTTGCAACCTGCAGCCCAATGTGTAACCACTACACCACACTACATACCACCAGGATTTCTCATACGAGTACATGAATAGAGTATATTTTCCTAGGTATGCTCCAAACCCAGCTCTGCCAATAAGGAACTATGAGCAATTTATAATTTATATGCCTGTTTATTTATATGTCAAATGGGAATAATAGTAAACACCCACCTATAATGATTATGACAATTCAGGCAAATTACTAAATTTCCTAGCGCCTGCCACATATGTGCTCAGTGGTAGCAATTTTCATTAGTTTTTCAGTTTATTTAAATTTGACCCAGAAGCGGCGACATAAAAATCAAATACTTCTTCTGATGCAATACTTACCTTTGCTAGCTGTTCAGCAAAATGAATGGCTGTTTGCGTGTGGAGTGTAACTGGCCCAGTTTTAATTCTGGAAACTCCATTGGCTAATGCCATGAAAATGATCAGCTATAAAAAAAAGAACAAAGAAAAAAATTTCTCACACATCAATATTTGAATTTATAATTTGTTTGCAGACCACAATAAAAACACAACTAGAAAACAATTTCTATTTCTTTAGATTTCAAGAGCCCTTAGATGACAGAAAAGACATGTTACCAAAAGTGCAGTTTAAGTAGGTTTTAATATATATTAAATGACTTATTGAAGATATTAAACTATATGTTTAATATATTTTTATATATATTAAATCAGAGTTTATAGCAAAATAACAGCTGAAAGTTAGTGGATTTAATTAGACAGATTATCTTTGCAAATTGGTGAATATAATACAGTAAGTTCCTTCCACTCTCTAAATTACATTTTAGGAAATACCAGTCAACGAAATGATATTCAGATTTACTGGAAGTAAATGGGAAGTCAATCTTGGCAAGAAGGAATAGAAATAAGGGAAACTGTCTTAAGAGACATGTCAAGAAATTTTTTGAGGGGCACATTTCAAAACATAGACTCTGCTGTAGAGAAAGTATAGTAGAGAGGATAGTATAGTAGCAAGGAGAAGTTATTAAAAAAGTGGAACATAAAAATGATCTTATTTGCAAATAATCAACAGTAATTCTCAATGTGCTGCACGTGCCAAGTTTGAGAAGCTATGACATAGGGAGATATGTACAAGCATGGAGTTCAGGAGAAAAACGGGACTTACACTCAAGCTGTGAAATTATACCCAAAAACCTCAGAGTGAAAAGTACATAATGTGCAAAACCAACAGAGGTGTAAAGTGGAGAGGAAAGAGGTGTGTCTGCGCCTAGGGGCTCTACAAAATTTAGAAGTTGAGAAGACGAGAACAAAGAACAAAGGACATTGAGACTATGGGGCAGTAAATAGGAATCTTGTTAGGTGCCATGGTGTAGACCTTTTGCACAACCCAACAAAATGCTGCCTGCCCCTGGGCCATCCTCAGGAGCACTGCCATCTGCGAGCCCACTGTGGTAGTAGGTGTGTCAGTTCATCTCACTGCAGGGCTTCCTCTTCTGTGCTAACCTCTCCTTACTAAACATGACCTCCTCCGGTGTCTCTCCTGATAATGTGTCCAAGGTACATGAGATGAACATTCTGGCTGTACTTTTTTCTGGCAAATCACAGTCAGTCAGTATTCTTCACCAATAATGCGAATTAAAATACAATTCTTCTTTGGTCTTATTGTTCAGCTTGCAATGTGATTAAAATACTATGATTGGGTCATGCACACCTTAGTCTTCAAGGTAAATCTTTACATTTAACATTCTAAAGAGGTCTTTGGCAGATTTATCCAGTGCAATGTCTCATTTGGTTTCTTTTTTTTTTTTAAAGTTTCCTAACTATTCAATAGTTCAATCATACTAAGAAGATTGTACAATCTTGTTTGACTTCTTGTTGGTTGTGGATACAAGTAAAATGAAATCCTTGACAATTTCCATCTTTTCTGTTTTTCATGACACTGTTAATTGATCCAGTTGTAAGAAATTTTGTTTTCTTTATATTGAAATAAACGGAATCTATATTCAAAGCTTTGCTTTTCATCAGTAACTGCATCAAGTCTTCCCTGCTTTCAGTAAGCAAGGCTGTAGCATCTGCAGATCACAGTCCTCCTCTGATCCTATTGCTGTGTTCTTCATACAGACGAGTTTTGGCTCAGTAGACAGACTGAATAAGTATGGTACAATGACACAGCCCTGACATAGATCGTTCCTGACTTAAACCACATATTCCCTTATTCTGATCAAACAGCTGCTCGTGAGCACAAGTAAGTGGTCTGCAATTCCCACTGCTATAGTTTGAGACGATCCACAGAGTCAACAAAACACAAGTAAACATCTTTTTGATATTCGCTGCTTCTAGCCAAGCTCCATCTGATACCCGCAATATCCTCTGTTTCCTGTCTTTTTCTGAATCTGGCTGAATTCCTGGCCATTCTCTTGTCAGCGCACTTACTACAATCATTTAAAATATATCTTTAGCAAATTGTACTTGCACGTGATTTTATGTATTTTGCATGTAATTTTAATGATATTGTTCAATAATTTTCACATTCTGTTGGATCACCTTTTTGGAATGGGCACAGTTGTGTATCTCTTCCAGTCGGTTGGCTGGGTAGCTGTTTTCCAAATTCCTTGCTATAGACTAGTGGGTTCTGGTGCTGCATCTGTTATTTGAAACATCTCAACTGGTATTCTGTCAATTTCTGGAGCCATGCCAGGGCCTTCAAAGCATCTTGGACTTCTTCCTTCAGCACCATTGGTTCTTGATTATATGCGTTGACCAATTATTATTATTTATTTTAGCAGGATATATTTTTAAAATTATTATTAATCTTTTTAATGGGGGGCTCTTACAAATCTTACAGCAATTCATCATTCAACTGTATTAAACACTTGTACATATGTTGCCACCAGCATTTCCAAAACATTTTCTACTTGAGCCCTTGGTATCAGCTCTTCTCTTTTCCCCTCCCTCCCCACCCCGAATCCCTGATCAATCATGTATTATTATTTTGTATCTTACGATGAACGCTGTCTCCCTTCACATGCATTTCTGACATTCGTCCCCCTGGGAAGGGCTATATATCCAACCTTGTGACCTCGTGATAGGTTCCCCCTTTCTCTCCCCGCCCCCCAACCTCCACCAATTATTTTTTGTATGGTGACTGTGTATTCTTTTCATCTTTCCTTGACGTTTCTTGGGTATTTCCATATCTTGACCATAAAATCCTTTTAACTTATAGAAAGCTTCAGAAAGCACATGAAGAAAATGTTTCAGAAGGAAAAAATGCTGAATACTGTACACAAGCCAAGTAAGATGAGGACCGAAATTTAAGGAATATTCATTTCAGAAAACTTAAAAAATCTATTGTGGGAAACAGAAAAGTTATTCCTCAGGTTGTCCCCCCATAATATACACCAAACCATGTTAACACATGGTCAATGACTATACACTTGGAGGTCAATTTAAGTTATCTGCCTGAAGGTTATCAGCCATCCAGAGCAATCAGACCCTAGAGTCTGTCCCAACCTAAGTAGAGCCCACTCCCTTCTGATAAGAATAATGGATTGTTCCCCTGAAGGAGAACCCAAAGACACCTAAGGTCAGGCCAACTCAGGATCAACCACCTTTAGGCTGCCATCTTGCCTCTAGAGTCCGCCTATATTGTTACATGTATACCATCGTGTCACATGTATGCTCTAACACCTCCCCTTCCTATTGCGTGTATACCTCTAGCTCATCCCCCACCTGTTACGCTTACGCTTAAGCTCAACCCCTTCCTGTTACATATGTGGCTACCTATAATAAGGGGGCTTGCACGCCCCTAGAATGTATATAAGCTTTGGTGGGAAATATATTCTCTCTCTCTGCCTGGATCTGGCTCCTGAAGTCATGAAGGCCTAAAAGTGAGCAATTGCATGCTTTAGCTTGTCTGATTTTACCCCTCAATTACACAACTGCCCCTTGGACCCATTCGATTGTGGAGGCTGGTACCCCACAATCTATTGAATGAGGACTTGTTAATCAGTGTCTGAAAGATAATAATTAAAATCTATAGTCAATTGAATTATCAAATACTCAAATATAATAGGCCTGGATGACTTCTGTCTTAAGTATGTTGCTACCTGGTCTTGCAGAAACTCATCCACAGCACCACCATGTCTGAGATTTGCTAGTAGCATTTCAGCAGCTTCAATTCCAACCTTGTCAGCATTTACACCTAGGATAGAAATGATGCAAAGAAACTAAGGCACAGTTTCATTTTAACTCATCCCAATTAGCATGGATATAACATTTTCCAAGTCTGTAAAGTCGCCCAATGTACCTTTTAAAAGAAAATCTTTGGCTAATTTAATCATCAGAGTATGGCATAAACTAATACTTGTATCTTCAAATACAATAGACAAACTGAAATTTTTTAGCTTATTTAAAAAATAGTCATTATAAAGTCAGTTTGTACTTATGTTAGGATCCTTAATGATGCAATGCTTTATTCAAAATTTAAAATTTGTGATTTATATAAGCTACAATCCAGCTCCAAGTAATACTATCAAAATTAAATGATTCTATCAAATATTAAAATGTTTTAGTTTGTTTTTAAGGTTTGAACACTTATCATCATTCTATTTCTATTATGTCAACCTATATCTTTATGCCCTACTGCTACACATATACCTCAAATGCTTTGGTAAAATACTGGGCACAAAATAAATATCAAATGACCCTTTAACGCTAGTTACTTTAGGTTAAAAGAAGTCCATCCTTGACTAGAGAAAAAAGAATTGTTAGGTAGCTATTGTAGGGACCAGGTATGTCTACTGAGCGTGTTCCAAATTCATGCCTAGAGCCAGGGGGCGGTACACCTAGGAGGACAGTACAGCTGGATGGGCCCAATCGAGGCCAGGTGGGTTTAATTCAGCCAATGGGGTCAACCAGTACTGCAGAAGGTCCTAAAAAGCCGGAACCTGGAGGCCATGGCCCTCTTTTCCAGCAGCTCCTCAGAGGTTCTGCTCAGTTTCTCTTTCTCTCTCTCTCCCTCCCTTTCCACTCTCTCTCTAGCCTCAGGCTGCCACATGTGGGTGAGTTTACCCGTGTTCAGTTAACTGCACAATCTTTATCTGTGCAACTCTTCTATCCTTTATAAAATGCCCACTTGGATCACGAACAAGGCTTCAGCATGAATTCTTTCTTGTGTGAAGCCAAGGATCGAGGTATCCCACACACTCACCGCCCAAAACCTCCCCCCCTCCCTAGAACCTAACAACATAAGTTTTAAAGAATGAGAATGTGGTTAATTTTATTTCTAGTTAGTATTTGGAAATCCTATTTATTATATTTATCTCCCATATATAAAATTTCTGAGTAGTTGAAATTTCAACATTTTAATGTTATTTCTCCTTACTACAGTCATTATGCTGTTGGATGCCCCTAAGTCTATTCCAATTACGAAGGAACCTGAGTACAATAGAGAGCAACACTGTCCAGTCCCGCACCATCCTCACAATTGCTGTGTGAGCTCATCATGATCACCGTGCCAGCCATTTCATCAGTCTTCCTCTTTCACCAGCCACTTAGGTGACCAGCAATCACTACAGCAATATAATAAATGTGCTGTCTTTACAGCATCAATCACTCACGTACTTACAAGACTGAAAGGTTTAGAACATGTGGGATAAACCTTACCTCTGTGGGTAAAATACCTAGCCACATCAGTTTCCTCATCCAGAAGGTTGAGATATTAATGCCTAAGTTGTTATAGAAGTTATAGATAATATTTATAAAGCCTCTATTGTGAAAGTGGTATAGAATCTACTTTTAACAGTAAATTACTATTGACCATTCCACTACATATACAATGCTAAGAAAACATAGGAACTGGCTAATTTGCTGAAGCACTATTAAAAAAAGGTCCCATCGCCAAAGACAAAGCGGGTGCATAAGCAAATGCGGTAAAGAAAGCTGATGGTACTCGGCTATCAAAAGATATAGCGTCTGGGGGGGCTCTTAAAGGCTTGAAGACAAATAAGCGGCCATCTAGCTGAGAAGCAACAAAGCCCACATGGAAGAAGCACACCAGCCTGTGCGATCATGAGGTGTCAATGGGATCAGGTATCAGGCATCAAAGAACCAAAAATCAAATCATTGTGAATGAGGGGGATTGCAGAGTGGAGACCCAAAGCCCATCTGTAGACAACTGAACAGGGTTGCTGGGAGGAGATGAGCCAGTCAGGGTGTAGTATAGCACCGATGAAACAAAACTTTCCTCTATTTCTTCAATGCTTCTCCCTCCCCACCCTCACCATGATCCAAATTTTTACAAATCTGGCTAGACCGGAGATGTGCACTGGTACAGATAAGAACTGGAAACACAGGGAATCCAGGACAGATAAACCCCTCAGGCCCAATAATGAGAGTAGCAATACCAGGAGAGAAAGGGCAAGGTGGGGGACAGAGGGGGAACATATCACAATGATTTACATATAACACCCTCCCTGGGGGACGGTCAACAGAAAAGTAGGTGAAGGGAGACATTGGACAGTGTAAGACATGCAAAATAATAATAACTTATAAATTATCAAAGGTTCGGGAGGGGAAAAAATGAGCTGATACCAAGCGCTCAAGTAGAAAGAAAATGTTTTGGGAATGATGATGGCAACAAATGTACAAATGTGCTTGACACAATGGGTGGATGTATGGATTGTGATAAGAGTTGTACAAGCCCCCAATAAAATGATTAAAAAAACCAAACAAACCAAAATCCTCACAACTGGACCAACAGATAACATGATAAGAAGAAGAGGTTGAAGATGATCGGATCCAAAAATAACACTCATGGAAGCAGCAGTGAAGAGATAAAAAGATTGCATTACATTAGGTAAATCTGCTGCACAAGACCTCTTTAAAATGAAGAGCAAAAATAAACAAATAAATAAATAAATAAAATGAAGAGCAAGGATGTTACCTTGAGGACTAATGTGTGCCTGACCCAAAACCATGGTATTTAAATTGCTCTATATGTATGTGAAATTGGACATTAATAAGGAAGACCATAGAAGAATTAATGCATTTGAATTGTGGTGCTGAAGAAGAATATTGAAAGTAACTTAAGACTGCCAAAAGGACAACCAAATGTGTTTTGGAAGAAGTACGGTCAGGGTGCTCCTTAGTGGCAGGGGTGGCGCCAATTCATCTCACATACATTGGACTTGCTGTCAGGAGGGAACAGTCTGTCGAGAAGGATATCATGTTTCATCAAGTGGGGGAGCACAGAAAAAGAGGAAGGCCCTCAAGAAGATGGGCTGACACAGGGGCTGTAACATTGTACAGGAACAATCATGAGGATGGTTCAGGACTGCGCAGTGTTTCGTTATGTTACGCAGAGGAACCCTAGGGTCAGAACTGATTCAATGAAACCTAATGAACCATACTCAAGAATTAGATAACTCTGTGCCAAGCTCTGAATATAAACTACAGAAGTTCATAAAGGAAAGACCTAGAATAATTTGAGAGAGTTTTCCTGGAACTTGAAAGATTCAAACAAGGTCTTAAAGGATGGCAAAAACATGACTGGAGTACAATGCTACCTGTGATGGGAATATATCTACATGCTGTCGGCCTTCAGAGAAATCAGATCAACACAACTGTTAGTCATATTTATGGGACCACCACTAAAACCGGTGATGAAGAAATGAAGTCTACCAACATCTTCCGTCTGAATTGGATTAAGCAAGCAATCAGGATGCATCGATAGTTACTGGCTATTGGGACGCTGAAGGTGGAAACAAAGAGGAAGGTACCATAGTCGTGGTAATAGAAACAAAGCTGAAAAATCACGATAGAATTTTGCAAGGCTAATGACTTCATCTCAAATACCTTTCTTTCAACAACACAAACGGTGACTATACAGATAGAACACAGAAATCAAACTGACTACATCTGTGGAAAGACGGTGGAGAAGCTCAAAGTCAGTGGCTACAACCAGGCCAGGTGCTAACTGTGGAACAGACAGACCATCAGTTATGCTTATATGTAAGTTCAGGTTGAAGCTGAAGAAAATTCAAACAAGTCCACGGAAACCAAAATACAAACGAATATTATCTCACCTGAATTTTGAAAACACCTCAACAACAGATTTGATGCACTGAAGACAAGCTGTAGGAAAACATCAGGAACATCATTCACGAAGAAAGCAAACAGTCATTAACAACAGGAAAGAAAGAAAGGATCGAAGTGGGTATCAGAAGGGACTCTGAAACCTGCTCTTAATCAGAGTAGCTAAGGCAAATGGCAGAAATGATGAAGTCAAATAGCTGAATAGAAAATGGCAAAAGGGCAGCTTGAAAAGACAGAGTAACTTTGGTGACAGAAATTATACGGAAGATTGCATAACAGAATTTTGCATAACAGAGATGTCTTCATTGCAGATACCTCTTTTCTATAACATACATGGCAGCTGTACCTGTGGATCTAGCCAGGTAAAGCATACAGGAATCAAATCGACTACATATGTGAACAGAAACGATGGAGAAACTCAACATCCTCTGTCAGAACACAGCCCGGGACAACCAGAACAGCCCATCAATTCCTCACACGCACGATCAAGAGGAAGCTGAAGAAAATGAAACCATGTACTTTGAGTCCATGAGACTGAAAGTACAACTCTAAGTATCACCCCATATCACTTTAGAGAGCAACTCCATAACAGAGTGGACGCACTGAACACTAAAGGCAAAAGACCAAATGAGCTGTGAGATGACATCAGGGACATTATACAAGAAAGCCAAAGTCATTAAGAAGAAAAAACAAAAATGGCTGTGAAATTTGCTTTTGAACAGATTCCAGATCAACTCCATTGCTATCAAGCCACTTCCAGCCCACAGCAACCCTACCCAGGATCTCTGAGCCTGCCAACCTTCAAGTGAGCAGACAGCCTCGTCTTTCTCCAGAAGAGCAGCTGGTGGATTGACAGCTGACCTTGTGGCTAGCAGTCTAACGCTTACCTGATAGCACAAGAGCTCCCTGAATATAAAGCAGCTCAAATAAACAGAAGAATGGAGTAAAAGAGATGAATACAAGATTTCAAAGGGCAGCTTGAGAAAACAGAGTAAAGAGTTATAATGAAGTGTACAAAGATCAACAGCTAGAAAAACAAAAGGAAAGAACATGCTTGGCATTTCACAGGCTGAAAGAACCAAGGAAACACTATAAGCCTCCAGTTGCAACAAAAGGATGCTCTGGGTAAAATGTTAAAATGGTATACAGGCAGCATCAAAAGAAGATGGAACGAATATAGTCATTTTACCAAAAAGAATTGGTACTCAACCATCTCAAGTAGCAGTATGAACAAAAACTGATGGCATTGAAGGAAGAAGTCTAGACTGACTGAACAAATTGGTGAAGAATATGGCCCCAGGAATTAAGAGAATTCCAAATGAGACTTTTCAATAAAGGAAGACACACTGGAAGTGAGCACTTGTCTGTGCCAAAAAATGTGGAAGGCCGCCACCTAGCCAACCAACTGAAACAAGGTCCAATTTTTATCTAATACAAAT